CTTGGATTTCACCATATTTCACCCCATGTTCCATGGTTTTTTCATGGTGAACCCGCTATTTTCCCATCCGTTCCTCCAGGGATGGCATGGCCCCCGGTAAGTTCTCCAAGTCAACCGAGCCGTCAAAGGAGCCGATCGACAGCTCACGGCCCAACCTGAATAACTCACCATTCAATGCACCACAATGGATGGGATTTCATATGATTTAACAAACTAACAAACTTATATAAGTAGATTTTTATTTTTTTAACCATATAGTGAATACATAGTGATTAGTGAATATTAGTGAATATTAGTGAATATAGAGTGAATACAAAGTGCATATTACATAATATTACTATATGGTAGATGTTTAACTAAAAATCATGGGATTTTTAGCTAACAGTCAACTGACTCAACTTGGTGATTCCACGGCCATTCATAAGGGGATGCTCCAGGGGATGGTGACGCCAGGGGATCCCCCATGACTTCAGAGTTTGCTGCAGATCACCAAAAACGCCCAGGCACTGCGAGCCCGATTCGTCCCTCGACTCTAGAGCCAGGTCGGCCTGGAAACCCCGAGAAGAACATGTGGAAATCACCTGATTTGAGTTGCCATATGAAGATGATTTCCCTACAGAAACTTGGGATTGAACATGATTTAATCAACAGAAACGGGGATATATGTTATGGTGATTTCACTACAGAAACTTGGATTTTAACCTGATTTTACCAACAAAAATGGGGATCTGGTCATCTGGAAAAGAATTTTTGGATTTTTAATGGGAGTATATAGGACAAAACATAATAAAACCAACATGAATGAGGATATGATATGGGGCATGGTCATCCCACCATCATGAACAAATCCTAAGAACCTGCTTGGGTGGATGCTAAGAACTTACCAGCTGAGCTGATCTGAAACTTGGTTTAATATAAGAATGTTTAAAAATGTGTAAGGGCTATTTGATAGGAAACACTCAAGCAAACTCAAGCATCAAAAGAAAAACTGGTTTCCTGTCAATATGTCCCAAGCCAGTGAGCCCAACATTCAATAGACAAACAAATCTTAACAAATCTACATTTTCATGGGTAACTGGGTAAGTCCCCTGTGTTGACACCTTCTGAATCGTTCAACGAGCAAATTTTGGCCAGGTAAATCCCGATTCTCAGCTCAGTGTTCTCAGTTCTTGGGGTGGTTGATGGTGGTTGGCATCCCAATCTTCTGGGTAAATTACAAGATTTCACTCACCTGAAATGTTTGGCTATACAATATAGTATAGCCCTTGACAGTTGTAAATGGATTATTTCATGATAATCATGATATATATATATATATAGCCAACTAGTTGTAGGAATTAGTTCATCCCTTTTGAGGCCCTGTTAAGGGCTATTGTATAACTGTATTAATATTGGGCCCCCTAGATAGCTAAGTTGATTTATAACTTTTAAATAGCTCCAATAATGGTTTATGATACTTGTAACTATTATTTAAAAAACATTGGGTTTTAATAAACCAACTTATAGCATCAGTGGGTTTATAAACCATTGTTTTTTTACATAAACACCAATTTGTAAAAAAAAACATAAACCCCGATTATGTTTATAAACCAACTTATAAGATCTTATAACTAGGGTGCCCCACAGCCAGGACGATTTCCAGCCAAGACACCACATCGGGGTGGTCGTCTTGGTCGACGGGCTGCTGTGGCTCGACGCTGTTCATTACGCTGTTCAGCACCTGAAAAAGGATAAGTTTAGGCTGCTAGGTATCCATCCATATATATATATATATATATCTGGGTGTGCGCATGTATATGATATGTAATTATATATATTGATCATATACAGTATATATACAGATTTATTTACAGTATATTCAATATATTCAATTTATTTATGTATGCAATTGGGCAGGTTTCCGAATTGCGAGTTGGTTTCGCCATGTTTTACTCCGGACGATTTTCCGCCTGCGTCAGGGGCCGGATCTCCTGCTCCACATCGGAGTCCTCCTGGGCCTAACGAAAATTCGGAGCTCGGCGGAAGAACTGGGAATTGTAGACGGAAAATCACCATTTTGATAGGTAAATCGTAAATCATGTATGAATTGAATGATCCATTTTCATCCATGTTCTATGTGACAATGTGGCTATGTGAATCTACCAGAGCCTAAAAACTGGGATTCCAACGTAAAGTTTCGCCAGAAAAATGATGATTTCAAGCGCAACAAACGGGGATTTCACCGCAAAAATGGGACGTGTGGGGTGGGGTTCCATCCATTCAGGTTTTTGCAGACTACCATTGTTTTATTAGCATCATTGTCCCGCATCCCAACTTGCCAGTCATGAAGGATGTCCCCTAAAACATAGTTTAACTAATCTCAAATCATTCCGAGACCATCTTGAGACCATCTTGAGACAGCGATATACCAACACTAATCCAAAACATCCCAAACACATCCGAACTCATCCCAGATTCTCCAAAATCATCTTCAAAATTCCTGAAACGTCCTAAAACCATCTCAACAGCATCCGAAATAATCATCCTACGCACATATCCGAAAATCATCCGAAAAACAAACCAAATAATTCATCAAAAACATAATCTGAACATCATCCCAAGAATGACCACAATAAACCATCTGATTTCCAGGCAAATTCTGAAAGCATCTCCCATCAAAATCTTCTCCACTCACATATCCAAACTTATTCCAAACAGTCCCTCTCAACAAAATCATCTCCTGACCTTGCTCAAAAAAATATCTCCCAGAAATCTTGCCCAAACATGTTCTCTCCTATCCACGTGTTTCCCTACCATTTAAATTTTCAACAGATTCCAATTAACCCTCTCAAGTTAAATCAACACCCAGATTCACCCCCCCAAAAAATATTCCCCGATCTCTTGAAGCATATCTTGGTGGTTGACGGAAAATTGTTCAGTGAGATATGTTCTACAAAACCCAAATACTGTATATCATCCATATCTAATCCAAAATTAGAGAGTATATATATATATAAAAATCTAAATCTCTATCCTCCCTGGTAATTTAACACAGCTCTTGAAAATTGCCCATTTACAGTTGATTTACCTATGTCAAATCATAGCAAACTCTTAGTTTACCAGAGGGTACCAACCCAAGCCATCCAAAGAAGATTCGAACTTTGATTGTCCCAACACCTCCCAGTTGGGTGACCATCCCACTGTTTTTTCGGCTTTAAGGGGACGAATCTTTGCCAAGAACCAACGAGATTTTTGCCTGTGGAAAAACATTGTCCATTAATTTTTGTATCATTATCATTCATTATTCATGGATAAATGGAGAACAATAACTAAGTCGTTTTTATCTTGGTAATGATAAGTTTTTCCAAAAACTTAGTTATCCATTTATCCATTTATAAATTAGTTCTTATCATTATTCATTATCTGGGTCAACTAAGTTTTCACCTGAGGGTTGAATCCCCATCAGCATCTGCCAAGCTTCGGATTTCTCGTCCCTCTTCTCCTCCGGGCTCAGCATACTCACTGGCAGCGAGGCGAGCGCAGCACCCTCTAACGCTGACCCTTCCAGCTCCGATTCCTGTGTGCCATGTCCATGGCCACTGGACAGGATCGCCTTGGAAGCGTGGCATGACATGGGGAAGTGGAAAGAAATAACATCCACAAATGGCTACCCTGTGGTAAACTAACGTTGATCTGGAAAATCAACATTTTAGCAGGTAATGCATCCATAAATGGGCCATGTTCCACATCTATGTCCCCAGGGTTGTTGTTGAATGGGGTCTTGAAGGGGACTTGCAGGGCCTGGAAAGTCATAGAGCTGAACAAACTGTTGAAATCATGAGTCAGTGTGTCCCGCACATCTGTAAAGGTTTCCTGCAAAATTCCAGAAAACATGGAATTTTCAGTTGAGTATATAGTTACTATAGTTGAATACGGGGAAACCCTTGGAAACCGTTGGAATCGTTCTCTACGTTTCTCTTTGAAAAATGGTCTCTCCATGGTGAGTCGACCGACCAATGCAGTGGAACATCCATGGTTGATGGTTTTGACCAGTAGCCTGTGTATGTAACTTAAAACTTTTAAAACCCAAATAATTCCAAATGATCCATGTTTAAGATATGTTCACCATTGTTCACCCATGAAATGGAAGGCTAAGACTCGAACAAAGATCATTTAGGTTCCGGGCATACATGCAGTAATTACATACAATCACATTGTACACACACACACAATCACGCACATGCATGTGCATACATACATTATAATATGTATAATATACTATAATATGACTATGTAACACAAACACAATAACCACGAGGTGGTGCCCCCAAGAAATCTTTGCTGGTTTAATAATAATCCCCATGAACTGTAGATGTATCTCTTAGCGATCATCTTTTACGGTCCACCGTAAGTGAGTTTCTGCGGTAACCTGGTAGCTACCAGTCCCTACAAGGTGGTGGCCCCATAGTTAGCGAAGTTGCTTTATACCCTCTGGTTATTGAACATAGCCATGGTATAGATGGCCCATTTATAGATGGTTTACCTATTAAAAATTGTGATTTTCCATGGCTATGTTAAATAACCAGATGGTAATTCCAATCGCAGTGGTTTATGATACATCAAACTGCTTTTTTTGGGGGTTATGAACCAACAAACACAACTGGGGGGCAGTACCTTGCTTTCGAGTTCTGTTTTATTGTAATTCTGAAATGTCAACTGCATATGAATTCCAATGAATTACCTTAAAAATATCTAAAATGTACTCGGTTACTCTGTTATACTCTGTTGTTATCTATGAATTTCCCCTGAATATTAGCCGCGGCCACAACATCTTCCCACGTGGTGGTAGGCACTGGCATGACCCGGACGCCGCGCGAGCGGGAGCGCCGCCGTTTTTGGCTCAAGAGCTTCCGCTGCAAATAGGTGACCTGTGCCGGCCACCACCCGCAGCGGCGAGTCCGCGGTTGGGTCGTTAAGGGTGACGTCACCAAAAATGTTGCGAGAAGTGGGAGTTTTATCATGGGACATCATGGAGTATAAGTCTGGAAATATAGTCGGATATAGTCGGATATATTGAGATATGAGATACAATAGGATACAATAATGATACAATGGGATCTCATGGGTACCCTCCGGTGTCCGAAAAAAAACATCGCTGGGACATCCACGAACTCCATGGGTAAATTCTACCAAGGTGCACTGGCAGTGCTACATCAGATCTGCGTTCTCTTCCCACCAAGGTGCGTCCTCTTACCATTCATCTTAACCTCTGGTAAACGTAGCCACATAACTATGGAAAGATCCACCATGATCCACCATTTTCAATGGGTAAATCAACTATTTCGACTGGGCCATGGCTTCTATGTCGCAACCTGTGAATGTTTACCTCATCTTACCTGTAGAAGTTAACTCCGGTTTCCACTCCTGGGATCCCATCAAGATCAGGTGAGCCTTATCGAGGTGAGCCTTCAGCTGTTTGTAGGCCTCTTGCTGTGCTGGTCGCGTCTCCGCATAGCTACAACACATCCTGATTCGCTCTGGAGGTTCACATTTGGACACCAGAAAAAAACGAACTTTTCTTAGACCAATGATAAATAGATCGACAACATCCAGGGGCTTCTGCGGAGTTTTCATGTTTAATGGGAAGCAGCAGGGGTTTGATGTTTAATGTTCCAACATGATGCCACACAGCTGAATGTCTGAATCACTCTGGTATAGAAAAGAGATCTCATGTCCATAAGCCTGAAAATTCTGAGTCCATGTCTGGAAAAGCACATTCTGCAAATTAAATATAATATATATATATTATGTAAATAATATATATATAACATACTATATATTGCATGTATAGCTTTGAAAACAAGCCATGAACCGCCCTTTTTTCCTTTTACCCAGTAGTCAGACAAATCCTCACCCTGTGGAAGCTCAACTGTGAGTGATATACAATACACTGAACATCTAGTCATGCTATATCTACTAATATAGAGCTATCTATCTATCTATCCATCCATCCATCCATCTATCTATCTAGTTATCCATATATATATATATAGAGAGAGAGAGAGTGCGTATAGAATGCAGCCCTTTTTACATTTTTTCAATATATATCTGGATGATGTTCATGGTCAAACAAAATGCCGAGACCCTCCGCAAAACTGGTAAAGTACCAAAACAGTCCAAAACATTCGGGTACCACACTCCATTTTGTGGGGGGCAAAGTCAGGGCTGCGCTTAGTAACCTCCTAAAAGCATCTAAAAGCATCTAAGAGCTATAGAGTATAGAGTAAGTAAAGTCCCACTAAAATAGTGGTAAACGACTTGTTTCTCCTTTTGGGCAATAAACGGCACGGCTTTCTCTTTCAGCCCAGCATCTGGAGAATTGAGGTGATACTTCAGGAGGAACAAAGTTTATGCTTCTTGAAAGCTTTACAAAACATCCATTTCGGTCAACCGCGGATCACATTTTCAAGTCCGTTTTGTGTGGCAGGTGTGGGACGGTCAATTATCACCCTCTTTTAAATATATAAGATTTTAAAGCTTTTGGAGGGTGGGAATGCGACCGGGGTACGACAAAGCTCCATGCTAGGATTCTACGGGGAAAGGGTGTGCAGAAGAAGAAACCAACCATGTTCACTGTGGGAAGCTCAACAAGCGCAACTTTTGTCCTACCAGTGCGTCACGGCACATGTGTAGCAGTGCAGACAAAGAGGATGGAGACAGGCATGTTATGTGGAGTAATGACCAAGCTGAAGCAGGTGCAAAAATCAGCAAATGACTTGGCAATTCCCACTCAATAAGCTTTTTGTACCCTGCGTCACGGCACATGTGTAGCAGTGCAGACAAAGAGGATGGAGACAGACATGTTATGTGGAGTAATGACCAAGCTGAAGCAGGTGCAAAAATCAGCAAATGACGTGGCAATTCCCACTAAATAAGCTTTTTGTACCCTTCAGGAGGAACAAAGTTTATGCTTCTTGAAGCTTTACAAAACATCCATTTCGGTCAACCGCGGATCACATTTTCAAGTCCGTTTTGTGTGGCAGGTGTGGGACGGTCAATTATCACCCTCTTTTAAATATATAAGATTTTAAAGCTTTTGGAGGGTGGAAATGCGACCGGGGTACGACAAAGCTCCATGCTAGGATTCTACGGGGAAAGGGTGTGCAGAAGAAGAAACCAAACATGTTCACTGTGGGAAGCTCAACAAGCGCAACTTTTGTCCTACCAGTGCGTCACGGCACATGTGTAGCAGTGCAGACAAAGAGGATGGAGACAGGCATGTTATGTGGAGTAATGACCAAGCTGAAGCAGGTGCAAAAATCAGCAAATGACTTGGCAATCCCCACTCAATAAGCTTTTTGTACCCTTCAGGAGGAACAAAGTTTATGCTTCTTGAAAGCTTTACAAAACATCCATTTCGGTCAACCGCGGATCACATTTTCAAGTCCGTTTTGTGTGGCAGGTGTGGGACGGTCAATTATCACCCTCTTTTAAATATATAAGATTTTAAAGCTTTTGGAGGGTGGGAATGCGACCGGGGTACGACAAAGCTCCATGCTAGGATTCTACGGGGAAAGGGTGTGCAGAAGAAGAAACCAACCATGTTCACTGTGGGAAGCTCAACAAGCGCAACTTTTGTCCTACCAGTGCGTCACGGCACATGTGTAGCAGTGCAGACAAAGAGGATGGAGACAGGCATGTTATGTGGAGTAATGACCAAGCTGAAGCAGGTGCAAAAATCAGCAAATGACTTGGCAATCCCCACTCAATAAGCTTTTTGTACCCCTTCAGGAGGAACAAAGTTTATGCTTCTTGAAAGCTTTACAAAACATCCATTTCGGTCAACCGCGGATCACATTTTCAAGTCCGTTTTGTGTGGCAGGTGTGGGACGGTCAATTATCACCCTCTTTTAAATATATAAGATTTTAAAGCTTTTGGAGGGTGGGAATGCGACCGGGGTACGACAAAGCTCCATGCTAGGATTCTACGGGGAAAGGGTGTGCAGAAGAAGAAACCAACCATGTTCACTGTGGGAAGCTCAACAAGCGCAACTTTTGTCCTACCAGTGTATATGTAAAGTATATATAAAGTTTATCATTACTCCTTCCATCGTTTTCCTTTATATCTGAAGTTTAATCAGTTGAATCTATTCATATTCATCTGATTACCCCAATGATTCATATCACACCATTCCTAGAAAGGAGAGGCCAGCGTCTTCAGCGCCCTACCTGTGCTCTATGCAGCCAAGCATCAAAGACGCACCAAAGCCTGGAGTTGCGGCCATGGGGTTGGCAAATTGATGACTTTTTGGTGAATTCTGGTGATGTTTGACTAATTCTGATGACTTTTGGTGAATTACGATTCGGCTTGAAAATAAAAGCTTTGAGAAGTTTCGGTTCATAATTCATCATAACTCCACTTGAAAACGCACGGTATTTCAATTTTGAGCCGTGAATCACTCTTAGCACATAACAGAGGATTGTCTGGTCCACTAAAGTGGTGAACGGCAGATCACTAGGCACAAATGGCTGGTCGTATTTCCAGCTTGGAGATTCATTTTGGCTTCACTTTGCAGTGGAGTAAAATTGGATTAATCCCAGGTCCGAGCTATTTGTTAATCTCAGGAGATTGTCAATTTACATTGGGGGCTTTCAGTGGATTAACAATCCCCTGCATTGTTCAATCTCACATAGAGTTGCAGTATAGTATGCCCTAAAAAGAATCAACAAGATAGAAACCGTATTTTCCCACTATTTTATAGGGATGAGTAAATTTCGTAGTTTGATGGATAAGGATAGATTTACAAAAGATATAAATTTCTGGGTAAATTATAATATTTCACTAACCCGAATAGTTCGGTCATTTGGGGATGATTCCTCTTATTAACCATGATTCCAGGGTTCGGGAGAACAGGGTTTGGTCGTGATCAAATTTACCCAGATTTATAAGAAAATCTTCATTCTATCACTTCTGTAGTTTAACAGGTCCTATAGGTATTACCCAGAAATTTGGGTCCAAGGAGCATCTATAATTGGCCCTATAGGTAATTTACCCATAATTGGAAAAGATAGACCTATAGACTGGTAGACTGGTAGTACCTATAAGATAGACCCATTTCCTGTAGGATTTTCCAATTCATCCCTCATCGCACCTGGATAGATAGGGCGGGCTCCATAAGACCTGCAGCTCTCTGGAAACCTCAAGCGTCAAGCGTTGCGACGTCAAGCGCGAATTTTGTCGCAGGGAGAAAGTACCCGGCCCGGTAAACGTTAACAAAAAGCTATTGAAAATGGCCATAGAAATAGCTATTGAATTATTGAACATATTTCTGGTTGGTGGTTTGGATAGTGGATTTAACAAAAAGCTATTGAACATGGCCCAGTCGAAATAGTGGATTTTCCCCATTTAAAATGCATGGTGATTTTCCCATCAGTTGTGTAAACGTTTACCAGAGGGTAACTCGTCAATGCCAGATTTGTAAATCACCAATCAGGGAATTTGAATGTGAATTTAAACCATCATGAACCATCTGTATTTGGGTCATAAGATTACTTAAGAAATCAATTCCGAAGTGGGATGATCCTCCCAGAAGTTCCTGTTGTGAAAACCTGGAGGGGCTAGTGGTCCCTTCTCCAATGGTACCTTTGGAAGGCTGGCCATCTTCCGATGATCAAACTATAAAACTAACACCTGAGTCCTAAGTGATACAGTAGGTCATCCCACAATATATATATATAATATATATAATATAGTATAATATAATATAATACAATATAATACAATATAATATAATATAATATAATATGATATATATATATTTCTATAACATGATAAATATATCTGCAATATTTCTAATACATCCGCAAGTGCCACAAAAAAAAATCCTGGATGTTTTTTTTGGCACATCAATTTCCATCATCTCCCTGGACCGGGATGAAGATCTTTCGTTCCCCGAGTCTTCGCAGCCAATGCTGAACCATTTGGTGAACATCGAAGAAATGTCCAACCAAATTTGACACATCTCCTGTTGATTTCTATAGTTTTGTTTGAATTCCAACATCACAACAATCCTGGAAATCCTAGGAAATCCAACCCATCCATTCCCCCATTCTGCGACTCGAAACAGAAAGAAATCCTCCAATGCCGTAGATGCCTTCCTCGATCTTTTCAGGATCCGATTGGTCGATTGAGACCATATCCTGAGCGAAGCGCAGAAGCGGAAACGAGGCACAGACATGGGACGTGGAGTCACAAGCGTTTTGTGCTCGAAACTAGATTTAGAATGTACAGTATGATGTGTATATACTATATATATATCTATATATATATATATATATATGTAGATAGAGTAAATCCTAAAAATGCAAAGATTCTGTTGTGTTTGCTGGATTGTCAAGTTTTGACCCATACCCATATTTCAATTGTTTGATGATGTTTTCGAGCCTCCAATTAGGACGGAAACTCCCACGCAACGGCTGAACAATTTGCCCAGAATGGACTCAAGCTTCTCAACCAACATGGGAATTCATGGAAATCCATGGGATTTTTATGGTGATTAATAGCTGGTTGGTGGTATACCTGCCCCTTTGAAACATATTAGTGAGTTGGGATCATGAAATTCCCAAATGAATGGAACAATAAAACATGTTCCAAACCACCAACCAGATAGTGATGTTGCCAACAAAAGAGGTATTAATGGAAAATTGCCAATGTAATTCGATGATTTACCTACTAAACATTAGTTTAACGGAGGCTAAATGAATCTACGAATGGTGTGATCTCATGGCATTTTCATTGCCGCGAAGTCATCCTGACGAAACCATAGCTTTACAATCCTTGTTGGGTCCTGCCCATGACGGAGGTGCCACGTGATCCTCGTAACAAGCCTCAAGGCTCTTTTTTATCAACTCACCCACCTAAAAAACAAAACATGTTCTGCTTCGAGCTCTTTCAATGTCACGGCCGACCGGAGAGCTAAACCTTGGCAAACGCGGATTTGTTCCGTGGCACCCTTTCCTCTGACTTCCATTGATTTCCACCTCGCATGGCCAAGCTGCCAAGCTGCCACCTTCCAACAAAATCCCCAACCTTTGCCAACGATGCCCCACAAAAACCTGAGTAAACATCCACAGATGGTAAACAGATCTATAGAATCTATAGATATTCAACTCATTTCAAGTTCCCAAATCACCAGTTGCTTCCCCAGAAACCTAGCCATTCGTCCCATTCGTCCGCCAAGGGTCTATGAAGCATCTCCCAGGTCTTCCGTTGAAACAGGGGAAATAGGGCGAAATAAAGAGCCCCAGCAGCAAACCCACGAGACTCGAAATGGAGACCCAACAGCCTGGAGCTGATGGAGCTGATGGAGCTGATGGGACAATCTCTACACTGAGAAAACCCTGTTGTGTTTGGCACCAAAGATATGTTTTTTCCTGTACATTTTCCGAAAAACCAAGTCTGGGGGGTTATTTACTAAGGAAAAAGATCCAAAAAGTGATATCTATCTATTCCAATTTGATTCCACATGTGGCCCAACGTATTGCAACAAGTATTAGTATGAGTGTTTGGCAACTGGGTGATTTCATCCCTGATATGTTCTATGGCATATCACCTACCATCATCTACCTATGCCCACCCATGAACAACAGTGCCTCAGCGCCGGGGTTGGTCCAAAAACAACAAAAAAAACATCATTTCATCGTGCATGCGGATAGGTTCATCAGATTGATGGTGCGTCTAATCTTTACTGATTTACTTGATTTTACTTGTATCATCTTGTATCCGTCATCATGGATCCATCTATTTTCACTATATATTTGGTTGACCGAAAAACCGCAGTTGCCAATCCCGAAATCCCAAGCCAAATCTATTGGTTGGTGGTTTTTCGCCCTACCCCTCTGAAACATGATGGAGTGAGTAACAGTTGGGATGATGACATTCCCAATATACAGTATGTAAAGTCATAAAATTCCATGGTTTCAGTCACCACCAACCAGATGAAGTTCCCCTAATCCACATCTTCCCATCCCAACCCTCCATCCCTGGCCTAAGGGCAAGAGGACAGCGCCTTGTCTGTCCTTGAAGCACCAGGGCATAGGGAACAGATCGTGGAGGTAGAGCACGGTGCTGATGCCCACTGCCTGAAACTTCCGATACAGCGAAGCTCGAAGTTATGGGTTGAAACTTGGGGGCTGCATCTCAGAGATGGTGAGTTTTTCTCATGGATCATACTACTCGCTGCTTGAAAACCATTGAATGATTGAAGACCTACTAAGGCTTCCAAGGTATAGTACTTTTCCTCGTGTCTACCGGGGGTGATCTTCTGCCGAGGGTGATCTTGGGGATCATGTTGCCAAGGAGCAAGGATGCCGTAAATGACTGCATAGGGCCACCCAGTTTGCATCAAAAGTGACAAGACCTCGAGAGCAAGGAACGATTGCTGCTCGTTGTTTGGACATGTTTGGCCCGTTTTTTTCGAAGATGGGCATGGAACGAATAAGACCCTGGGAGCCAATGCTTTGGGGAAGTCTTGGGAACAAAAGTCAGCAGCTTTGTATCACCCAAGGACTCTCAACGAGGGAAGGGGGGAAACACCAACACACCACTAACACATCAAGGAGGGGTAGGAAGTTGACTGCGGTTCGGATTTTGCCTGGGAGGACAGATAGAACTCACATTTCACCACTTTTGCTCACCCACGCTGACACGGACCCCAGGTCCGCTTCCTCCCCCATTTTGGGCGCCAGGAACTTTCCATTTTCCGTTGGTGGACCTTGAGCCGAGTGGCTGGATTCGTGAGCTGCGGGAAACCCACCAACCAATCCCAATGAATCACCTTTAGTAACCCCTCAAAAGATAGACACACACATGTATATATATATATATAATATATATGTATATATATATATTATGTATATATATATATATTACAATATAACCATAACATCCTACTGCAAGAATGAGATACTTCACTTTTCTTTCTTTTTGGGGGCTAGCATGCTGTAATTGCCACACACGGGTGGTTGAAACTCCCCACTTGAAACATTGAAGAAATGCTGCAACCCGGTTGGTAGTTGACATCCACTTCAAAAATATGGATAAATATGGAAGTTATAGGATCAGTAGCTTTATATTTTCAAGCATTTAGGAACGTCAAGTATTTAGATTGAACACGATTCAACTATTTTTCGGCCCTGAGAATTTGGGACGACCAGCCAACCAAAGGGCAAAACTCAATAGGCTTGGACCATACCATTTCGGTGGTGTAATACCGTAATACCTCATGTTAGGAAAAGAAAATCCGTGTCTTTGCCAACTATTTCGGTTCCCAAGAAATCCATGCTCTCTTTCAATGCGATTTTGAAGGTTGAGGCGTCGCCGAACTTCGATGCCCTGTATATATAAAGACTAGTCTTCAACAGGATAGTGATCTTCCTCCACCTTCAAGGTCATTTTCACTGGAGATGAGCCAAAGACCAAGGGGACCACATGTTTTTGGTCATTTTATGTCATTTTATGTCATTTCATTTCATTTTAACTGTTAACTGTCTTTTTTTTGGTGCAACCAATTTTGATCCATACCCAGTTAAGCCGACGAAAAAAAAAAACAGTGATTCTCTCAGCACCGAGGGGCCAAGTATGTGAAAGGAAGAAATCAAAGCTTTCCATGGCTTCTGCCTCGCCGAATAGCGATGGCCCGGAGAGAGATAGGTGGTGCAGCACCACCCTCGGAGATGGAAATGGGCAATCACCCATTGGTAGAAGAGCTTCCTGATTAAAGATTGCGATTTCCCATTGCCACATTTATGCGATATGTATGTATATATATATATATATATACAGTATAATTATATAATATTCTTATGTATATATATATAGATAGATTGTTATATTATGTGTGTATATATATATTATTATATATTATGTTTATATAATGTATATAATTATATAAAGCGCATGTATTCACTTGAATATTTCCCATAATTATAAATATATAAATAACAATAAACGTATGTAATCACCATGCAGCCTAGCTGTATCATGGCCATGCCAGTGCCTTACTGTGCAATGCCACCAACTGCGCCTGGATCGTGGAAACCAATAAGTTTCGGGAGTTATTACACTGTATAGTAGCATCGTTGAATCCTTACCCTCTGGTAAACTAACATAGCTATGGAAAATCACAATTTTTAATGGGAAAATCCACTATTAATGGCCATTTTCAATAGCTACGTTAAATTACCAGAGGGTAAGATATTTGAAACAAGCAATGGTGGATTTGGTGTAACAAAACCTGGGAACTTAAGCCATCAGTTTTAGGATTTAACATTCCTACAACTAACACAGACCTTGAAAATCAAGGTTCGGAAGACTACCTTCCTCTAAGAATTGGCTAGTCTTAGGGTCTAATGTTCGTTGGGGACATACCGGAATCAAACCAAGGATCAAACATGGAATTCAACTCAAGACTCAATAACAGTAATATAATGATGAATAATAAAGCAACGAAACAGGGCAAAAGGGGAACCGTTTTTTTTTGGTTTCACCTGAGAAACGAATCACTGGCAAATAGCAGCCTGAAGTCTAATTGACGCAAGGATGTCAAGGTTTCTGAAAAAAATGTCCAAAAAAAACTAAGCTGTGACATCGTTGACAGTGTTGGTCTAGGACCACACTATGCTTGGACGGGATCATCAAAAACCTGTACATCATATGCCAGGCTGGAGAACTCACCTTTTTTTTTTTGCGTAGCTTTTATCATCCAAACGACTGGAGAGAACAGAGAAACAATGATGGTGAAAAGGCCAGGGAAGACGAAAAAAGATCTCCAGGGCTCCAGGCCGCTTCTGGAAAAAAGGCTAGCCCAAATTCTGATCGCATATCATCAGTTTCCAATGATTTATTTAACGGCAATTTGGGGCTTGTCATGCCCAGGTCTCATTTTGAGTCTATAAACAAAACATCCAATTCTGATGCCAACTTATACCGAAACTATCCAAAGTATCAATGAATTTCCGGGTTGATTATCACTATGATTATATCATCAATTAAACCCGGGTAAAGAAAAAACCATTGGCAAATTGGAATGAAACTGGAGCAACCATTGATTTTGCAAGTGGAAATCATACCAACTAACACTTGCATAAAATCATTCCATTGGTGTTGGTATAGTTTGGAATTAATTGGAGAATATTGGAGATATATGGAGATATATTAGCGAAAATTCTCCAATATTCTCCAATTATCAGTGAATTGGAAATAATTGGTAGCTACCAAAATATCACATTCAAAGATACTTTGGAAATAATTGGAGAATAATTGGAGAATAATTGGAGATATATTACCAACATATACCACAATATCACCCCAGTGAATTTCCGGGGTGGTGCCACGGAGCCACCATTCTCAGCTACCCATTCCCGAGGCACATGGCTCATGTCCTGCGGCTTTTGGTCCAGTGGAGGACTGGGGTCCAAACTTGAGGATTCCGAAAAATCACCTAACTGGGGCTATATATAATAATCATAATCATACATGGTTATATTAATGTTACATTTATATTATATTTATAGCTGTTCATATGGTTATATAATGTTATATATGATATGTTAACCACAATCATTTATATCATGTTAGTCATTCATATCATGATATATATAAACCATATTAACCGGATCATATATATATATATATAATATATATATATAATCATATATATATACAATGTGGGCCACCCCAGTTATAAGTTGGTTTATAAGCCCCAGTAACTATAGTTATAAGTACCATAAACCAATGTTACTGGAGTTATAAACCAACCTAGCTATCTAGGGGGCCCCACTTTGTATGTTAATATCATGTTAGTCATTTATATTTGTAGCCGATATTGCTCATTACACCCAAGTCAACCAGGCGTTTTGGCTCAGATCATGGTGGTGAAAAATCATCCGGGCTTGAGAAGATCTATGTTTTCACACAGAAAAAAGGTGAACCCCCCACAAAGCTAGAAGAAAAATCGGAGAAGTCATAAAATCTCCATGATTATCATGATTCAATTGCAATTGAATATAGAAACCTTCTACATTTTCTGCATCTGTTTCTGAAATCGAACCATTCCAACCACATCGCCGCCCTTGCCACGTCCTTGGGCATCGTCATCCACGCGCGGCCGCCCGAGCGTAAGGACTTGCGAATGGTTAAGCCACAGAGCAACTCCTCAGTGGATCGATAGCCACACAAAATTTTCCGGGCAAAAGGTAAGGAAAACACATTAAAACACCATCAAGAATCAAAAGTCGGGGGGAGAATTCTAACATATTCTAACTTCAATGTATTTAAATGGTCATTTACATGTTTCATCATGTTTCAAGATGCTGCCAATGTATTGCAACAGCAGCACCTTTCATGGTATCCTTCCAAGGTACACAAAACCAAGGAACACAACGGGGGTGACCGGATCGGAGGATCATCGGCCAAGCATTGGGGCATTTCTGCTGGGTGAGCGTTGAAAAAAGTGTTGGGATACACACCAATAGGATTAACTAAGGTAACTAATGTTAACTAAATATAATGTGAAAAATCCCATCACTTTTTTTTTCACACCCCAATTGCATGTTATGGTAACACTCATTTATTATGGTCCCAATGGAATGTGGAAATTCCCATCAAAAAACCATGGTTTCGTTTAGGGGGTGTTTAATATGAATGGGGGAAGGGATTGGTTCAAACCACCAACTAGATTTGGGTGGTTTCACAAACCAGGAAGTCCTGTAGAACATCACCCTTCATGGACCCAGTGACACCATATGACACCATGCAGTGCCAAGACTCTTTGTCAATATGTAGATGTCCTGCCGTGCCGACCCGTGTGAGTGTATCAATCAGCCCATCAAGAACGAGCACGGAAAAATATACCTGGTTGGTGGTATGCCTACCCCTCTGAAAAGTATGAGTTTGTCAGTTGGGGTTACTATTCCCAATACATGGAAAAATAAATGTTCCAAACCACCAGAAATATAGGGGATAAAATCACTAGCCAGTAGTAAAGTGATGGCTCCATTCATAGCCAGAAAGAGGTTGCATCATGTTGCATCCATTCGCCGGACATCATGAAGCGCCAAATGGTCACATCTCAAACTATTCCATACTATTCCTCCACCAGGGTTCAATGATGTCCAATACGCCCCTAATCTTGGATTAGCTGATCCGGGGCCCTACAAACATAGAACATCTTCTCATATATTCTATATAATTTCCCGATTTTTTTCGCGGAACCATTGGGAAAATCAACGAATCATCAGCAAATCTAAGCAAACAATAATCATAGTAAATAGAGGTTGATGCTGGCGAATCAGCCCTCAAGAAAGCCCCCAAAATTCTTGGGGTCACTGGGTCAACGGCAGCACCATTCCCATCCCCCGCAGAAGAAACCGCGCCGCGCCTAACGAATGCAACCTCTGCAGTTTGCTGATTTTGCTGGCGCCTCACGCCCATCCCGCACAACGATTCAGTGGGTAACAAGTCCCCCTTGCTCGGCTTATCGGTCATTCAACATAGCTATGGAAATTGGAATTTTTAAATAGGTAAGTCATTGAACTAAATGGGTAATTTTCTGTAGCAAACTCTTAAAGTACCAGAGGGTCATAAATGGGTTCAACTATGGTTTCACCAAAAATGGATCCTCCAAGTATTGGAGATTTACGCAGTAGCACTTCACCCCAAGAACCAAGGCCTTTCGTCAAGGGGTTGCTGTTGTGTCATCCTCCAATGCTAGTTTCATTAACCACCTTCCATTTAGCTGTTGTTTGAACAGCTGAGGAGATTTTCAGAATGGTTAGCACACGCGTTGTCTCGCGTTGTCTCGCCTGATTGTTCGGAGGTATGTGTTGTACCTCCGGCAAAACCAGGCAAAACTGGGAAAAGTCATAAACATGGGCCGACGTCCCACATCATCCAGTGGGGAGGCATACGGTGAGGATACCACAGATGGTTGGTCGAAAATCCCGATGGTTGATACCCCAGAAATGGGGGAGCCATCACAATTACGAATTGAGCAAATTATGACATCAACAAGGGAATTTGGGCACCCTCCAAAACAAATCCATTTCTGAACTTCCCTCGGAATGGGTGAGTTTGGGGGGACACATACCTGACTGGGTCCATGTCCATGTTCAATCCAGGATTGAAATCGTCAGTTTTCGAATCCAGGGCAGGCACCAGCCTGTAAGCATACCCTGAAAAAAACAAAAAAATAACTGGGACCCACAGTTATGACCTGGTCATGAGTTGTGAACAATCCCATGGCTTCCTGTGGGTATAGATGGGTGTGATTGGTTGTGTCTGTCATTTCCTTGGTGAAATCACGTCAAATCCATTCAATTTTCGACGCTGCACAAAGGGGTACCGAAATGCATCCTAAGGACTTTTTGTGGCTGAAATATGCTTATAGTACCTCAAAAAAATAGACAGGGTCAAATCCTGGTAAAATAGTGATCAAAGCACTTTTCGATCTTTTTTGGGGTTGCCAAACAAATCATCAAACAATGATCCTAAAATATCCTAAAATCATCTAACATCATCCACAAGTTCCCCATTTTTTCAGGCTTCCCTCACCTCGGCTTAGTAGGGAGGATGTTGACTTCTTGGGCTTGAGGGGAGCTGGCAGAGCCAACTTGCCTCGCTGGCTGGGACATATTTTGATATATTTTGGATAGGGAGAAGCATGGGGCATCCCCAACTTTTATCTGGTTGGTGGTATACCTACCCCTCTGAAAACATATGAAAGTCAGTTGGGATAATTATTCCAAACCACCAACCAGTTATGGTTCAACAAGTTAAACACATCATTTTCCCCTATTGATTTCATGGTCATGAGAAAGTGTATCCTCCATATTTTTGCGGATGCCGAAACCCCGATGATTTGTATTCGATTTTTGTCTTCCCTTCGCCATATCATGAATTTTGAGGGATAATAATGGGATGATCACTGGATTTAACCATGAACAATAGGTACTACTACAATGGGGGTAATTGCAATATTAAACGGGTCAAACATGCATCTGTCTTTCCCAATCTGGTCCAATTTCGACTTTTGTTGGTTATTGGACTATCCCCCATTTGTCTGTGTGAAAATCCAAACTTTTCGTTGGACCAATTCCAATACTTAAACAAATCACACTTCGCGGGTTGCATTTGGACTGCTTGTTGCTCATCTCATGTTGACTGTTCTCCCGGTCTTGGTTGCCCCACCAAGGCTTTGTTGATTGTGTCCCGACAAAATCACCACAGTCCGCTCCAAAAAACGGTCAGCAAAAATCATCGGCCGGGCATCAAATTCCCAAATTTTGGCCCCAAAACAGTAAAGTAAAGGGATATTGTAGAAGATTCGCAAAAAATCAAGTAACAAATTGAGAAATCCCAATCAAAACTCCATTTCATCCAATTAATTTCCCATGAACTCCCCATGAGATCCCGTAAAATCTCATACATTTTCATTGAAATCTGACAAATCCTACCATAGATCTCATGAAATTCCAGGAATTTTCCTCCCATGAAAATCCCATGAACAAATCATTCAAAATCCATGGATTTTCCCATTGAAAATCATTGAAACCAAGCCGCCGTCCATACTGGCATCCCCAGAGGCTGTAGTGCTGTGAGGCTTTGGAAGGGCCGCGGGACCTGGCCAGGTGCTGGGAAGGAGTTCATCCGATTTTCAGATTTCATGGGATTTTCCCTCTGGTAATTTGTTACATAGCTATTGAAAATGGCCCAGTCGAAATAGTGGATTTTCCCATTGAAAATGGTGATTTTCCATAGTTATGTAAACGTTTACCAGAGGGTTACTGCTTTTACGCGGATTTCATCGGAATTTCAGGGGCATTTCATGGAGACGATGATGGCAAGGCAAGGCGCTTCCCGGACTGCCCTTGGTACTGCCCCGCGGCGTGCTGCGTGGTGACAGCGATGTCGCAGGATTCGGCGCAACGGCGCCTGAAGATTTCGGGAGGGAAATTCAACCAAAAATGGTGGTTTTATGTGGTCTTTCATGTAGTTTTTATGTGGATTCATTGTGGATTCATAGTGGATTTATGTGGATTTATGTGGACTTCACATGATGTCAACATATTTAAAGTTGTTTCAACGAGGAAAACTCGAGGAATTCGCAAAAAAGATTGGAGGAATGCATCAAACATGCTGGATTTAATACGATGTGAACATAATGTTGTCATAGGCTAGGATTAATAGTTTTGCCGAAGAATTTGCCTGGTTGAAAACGCATACATGTTTCTTTTAACAAATTGGGCTTAGATAGGCTTCAGTTGCACAAAAACGGGTTGAGTTCCAAGAAAATGTCAATTTCAACAAACGTGTTTTCTTTGTAACGGTTTAAGCCACCAAATCCTCAATGTTCCGCTCCTCATTTCAAATTTCCCTGATCCACCCACATCTGCGGTCCGACCACATCCCCAGAAAGTCCGAAAATCTAAGCCCCAAAACATCACCCCCGAAGCTGGCATACTTGAGGGGTTCATGATTGCCTCTGGCGAAGTTGACTTACTTTCTAGGGGTTTATCAGTCCGAGGTCAACGTCGAAAAACGGAAGCATCAGAAATGAATGGTGGGTTTGACCAAACTTCCGCAACTACCCAAACTCAACATCCCCGAAAGCATGAGCTCCCCTTGAAATACACGAATGTGGTAAACCCAATAATAAACCATGCCCAAAATCCAAAATCACCATCTTGTGGAATTCAAACAAACGTCAATGATAAATAGTATTGGATTGCCCACATAAGATGGTTATTAATCCTCATAAATAGCAGATTTCCCTATTGACCCTTCAGGATATAGATATGGAGATTTCCCGAAATAGGGGTACCTCCAAATCATCCATATTTAATAGGATTTTCTACTAAAAACCATCCAGCTATTGGGGTAGCCCTATTTTAGGACCCCCGCCATATGATGTATTATAAACCATTATAACCCCCATGAAAACTAGTTCGTTAAATCTACCATAAACAGTCATAAACCATAGGTTTTTCGCAACTGAAATTTACGGCAACAAAGAACGCGAGCTCCAACGGTATAAGCCCCATCCTGTAAGGGTGATGAATGATATGGATAGAAAAGATATGGTGATTGCCGAGATAATAGGATCATATTAATGATTAATCTATGTGAAAATATCCCAGAACGTGTTTCATATTTGGGATTATTGAATAGTTAATCCAATGAAAAACCAGGACAATTAACCATTCAATTACAATTAGCATATTGTAACCATATTGTAACCATATTGTAACCATATTGTAACCATATATAATATTATCATTAATATTAACCAGCAAATAGTTGGATAACAACATATATAGTAACAATCATATAATATTATCATATAATATTAATCATTAATATTAACCACTATTAAGCATATAGCCAAAAAGTAACCGGACAAACAAACTCATTGTGGGACCAGCCAGTCGGACTCGCCATGACTCGCCGGGATGCTCCACTGACTTGGATCACGGGGATCCCGAATGATGTCTGCACTGATTTCAACCACTGGGAGATCTCCCGTAGCCTCCTGTTTTTGGGAAGGTGGGTCTTCCGAAAGTCTATCTTCATGATTCAAAAGACTAATATGTGTAATTAATAAGGCTATAATGTGTGATTAATAATATGTGCAATTGATTTTTTTTTTTTTTAAATATGCTATATATGTGTAATATTGGACCAAAAAGACTCATACGTATGTGTAATTAATATCAATTAATAATTAAAATATGCTATATAGTTTACAGAAAGAGATGTAGAGTGCACTCTTTGCAAAGGCCGCACTTGCACTTGTTTGTTTTGTTGTTTTTATCTATTATTCATGTTTGTTTTGGCTAAATCTATGTATATATCTATGTATGACCTGGGAGAGCTATTGGGAATGCACAGTGGTTGCTTTTGTTGCAGAAGCAACAATGTTTGGTTTTGGAAAGGACAGGGTTTAGCATCTTTCGCAGAAAATAAAGTTCAAACATGCAAAAAAATGCGCTCACAACACCCCCCCTCCTACATATGTATACATATATAATGTTGAACATATTTAGATATTATATACATGATCTAAACGAGAATTGACAGATATTGAAACGGTTGGGCATCACTTTCAAATTCTTCGAGACTTGCAAACCATCGGAAGATCAAGTGGAGCTGGCACCCCGAGCGCTACTTGCCGGGATGGTGACGTCAAGGATGATTCGATGGCTATGGTGATTATCGTGGTGATTACGTTTATTAAAACCATATCTATCATGGTTATTATGGTGTTTGTTATTAATTCATTATGAACGTTTTTCAAAATGAGTTTTCTTTTTAAACATATTTTTCTTCTTCGTATCATTATTCTAATTGTATCCTAGATCATCTTAGTACATGATAGTATTCTTACTATCACTATGATGACGACGACAATCGTCACAATGACTATCCTCCTCGCAGTTGCAGCAAGGCGCTGGGGCATTTCCCATGGCGACGGCCCAGGTGATGCGGATGTGCGGAGAATTCAATGGATCTGTGGGTGTTCTTTGGAGTAAAGAACTGGCACGTCATTGGCAGATTTCATCATATTTCATCATATTTCATGATGTTTCAGTCTCAGTATGTTACCTCGAAAGGGGTAACGGATTCAAATGGTTTTTAAATAATGCTGGCCCTTTAAAGGGATTCTTCGTGGATAGCTATACATCTTCGGTCATCCAAAAACCACGAAGGGTGCCGACCTCACAGGTGTTAATCACCAATTTTTGGGACCCTCCATGTTATCATGTTGCCCAAACTTAGCACCCCATTTCATGCCGGCCCGGACTCTTTTCTCCACTGGGGGACACCATGGGAACCACCAACTACAACTGCGCAGCTGTTGACGACTGAGCTGAAACAGCCACAAACGACGTTGGTGGAGTCGTAGAGCTGTCTTTTGAACTATTTTTACTCCAAACTCATGCGGTTCTATGGAGGTTTCCTAAAATGGGGGTACCCCCAAGTTATCATCCATTTATAGATGGATTTTCCATGATAAACCATCTAGCTATTTGGGTCCCCATCTTTTAGCAAACTCCTGTTTTTTCTACAGTAACACGTTTTAAGCATCGGCATACCGCCAACATGAGGTGCTTACCGCAGCAGTTGCTTCCAGCTGAGCAGCAGCGACTTGAATGATTTCCCCATCGGAAAAGCTTGCCCACCGCAGATATGCTTGCCATCACATGGGTGCACATGCCACCAAGTGGATTATGACCCTGAAAAAGTCAGTAAAAAAATGTCCCACATACTGTAGCTGTTGTACTGGGATGCACATCAGGTGCAACCAATGAAGATCGCGGTTTCGGCAGACTTGACCTTTCACCAAATCTTCAACAAAAGCTCCAACTGTGAGTGTCTCAAAACTGGGTGTACCTAAAGTCTAAGTGGCTCTCAACCACGGAAACTATGACCCTTTGTTGGTTTTTTGGGACCCCATGTTTTGGGGCATATATATAACCAAAAAAATAGGACATGGTTTTTCCTCATTTTCACTGGCTGGTGGTTTCAACCTTCCCCAGAACAATATAGAACAATTCGTCAATGCAGATCATCCCAGTTCGGACAGAAATATTTCAAACCGGAAAAACCGTGAAGCGTTTCCTACAGATTTGAGATTTTTGCGGTTCCATGGATCCAGTGGAGCCATGAAAAAGGAGAAAAATACACCGTTTTCTACTCCCATCTCGTGAAATATTTTTTGTTGGTTGAAAACGCTTTTCCTACTATGGGTGAGTTCATACTCGCCATTACTACCAGGCAGTACAACTCCCTACACTCAATCATCAACCATCATTCATTAACTACATTCCAACTATATCTTCATCCTTTGATGGTTGAACCCCTATTTCATCCAATAAAATCATGAAGCAATAGGGATATTTTTCGCAGCCACTGCTCAAGTGTTTTTTCCATCTCTGAGTTTACCTCATCTCAAGTGTGTCCCAGGTAGTAAAATCGTATAATCCTTTATCATAATCATCCAACAAGTACATCCCATTAATATAGCATTAAAGATACCATAAAGATATCATGTACATATATATATATATCTGGTTGGTGGTATACCTACCCCTCTGAAAAATATGAGTCAGTTGGGATGATGAAATTCCCAACTGAATGGGAAGTCAGATAAAATTCCATGGTTCCAAAAGTTCCAGTCACCACCAACCATATATATATATAAATATCATTATCCCATATAATAAATGACGATATTAGTATAATTATCCCATATATATATACAGATATATAGCTATTGATATTTAATGATACATTATCCCATGAATATAGCGTTAATTTTTCATAGGTCCAGTTGTATCCCCCCAGTGATTCCCCGCCTCCTCGGCCCTGACTGGTGACCCTGGTGATGGGGCCGCCTCCGCAACCGCCTGGAGGTCGAGCCGGTCGAGTCAGAAACGGAAAGACATAGATATTTTGGGACAAACATGGATTCAATGGATTGGTTTAAGGGAAAATCTACAGGAAACCATCGATTTTCCCAGTAAATATTAGGGGTTTTCCTGTAAATTTTCCCTTAAAACCAATCCATTGATGGATAGATGTAAACTTAACATGCATATGTGAAGATGTAGGTGTCGATGTACATGTATACATATATATATACACATAGACATGTATGTATATGATTCAACAAACACAGATTAAAAAAATATACATACATAACTTGAACGATCCTCCAAGCCATTGAGAGTCAGGACCAGGATGATCACATTTTTTCCGTATCGGTCCTCTATTAGCTCCCCCAGTGTTAGTACGTGGGGGAGAACCAAGGGTCCAAGCCAGAAGAACCAGGACTTTTCACCAGCCAAGAGCCCAAGAGTAGAGATTGTAGTGAAATTGTTATGGGGGCTGACATTTCCTGGCAAATGATACTGGTTGGTGGTATACCTACCCATCTGAAAAATGATGGAGTTCGTCACTTGGGATTATGACATTCCCAATATATGGAAAGTCATAAAATTCCATGGTTCCAGTCACCACCAAGCAGGATATATTTTGATGACATTGGGATGCCAAGACTATATCATCACAAAGAATGGGAAATACCTTTGAACATTGGGAGTTCACCAAGCACAACTTTGTGGACTTTCAAACAACAGCTGGTGCTGGTGCTGGGACCAATCAAACAGGCTAACGTACCTCTTTATTGCTTGTATCCATATCATTGGCTACTGCTACCCCGGAGTTAGTGAACTATCCCCATGTTTGTTGGCTCTATTCCCACTTTTTGGGTTGACAGTTGTTGCTTCACACTCGAGATATTTGTTCGATATATCTGTTGTTGCATTGATGGAACCTTCGCATTCTTTCTTGGGCTGGGTTGGTCCAAAAATAGGGCACAAAATCCAGTGGTTCAGAGCTTTTCCTTCCTTTGTGAATGCCATCAATTGTGTGGAACATTCCCCAAAAATAGGGTAATCACCTCCAAATCCAATGGTAAATGCCCCGCAAAGCAGTAGAATCCAGGGTCTTCCATCCAACACAAGCTGGCAGTCCAACACTTTCCATATCCACCGGCTTTTATCATCATTTTTGCCAATGTACCCTAGGGTCAACATAGAAAACGATGTGGAAAACCCATGGTTTCCCACAAAAATCGTCTATAAACTGTCTATAAACGTTTGATTTTCAAAATCTATGTTAGTTTACCTTCGGGTACATCGTTGCATCCCAGTTTTTAGGCAGACCCAGCTCTTGTTTTTATAGATGCAACATCCCCATCTTGCTCCAGTCGTCCAGTCGGAAAGTGCTCCTTCGGTGCGATCGGCTCTGGGTCGATCAACTGAAACGATCGATCTGCAGAAACCTGCACAGCATGGAATGGTTTTTCATGGGTTCCCAGCCAGGGATGTACTCTAAGCTTTGGATGTTCATACCAGGAGTGGTAACTACTTGGGTTTGTCTGAAAATGTTGGGTATATTCCCAATGAAATAGCCATTTCATAGGGATTTCATGATCAGCAAAACCATTGGGTACAATGGGGTTTTCACTATTTTCAGACACACCCACTTAACAATTCTTAACATCCATGGCAAACAATGGCGCACCATCCGGGATGTCAAGATCTGGTTCTGTGGATTCTGGATCCATTGCTTTCTGGTGATAAACGACCTTTAGCACCTTAAGGTGGAACACATGTGTTTAGATGTATAGGGTATAGGATGTATATGTACAGTATTATATATGTAAGGAGATGCCAATGATCTCTCTTCATGCCTCTTATTTTGTTCATACCTATATACCATTAGTGGATATGGCTTTGTCTGAAAAAATAGCAGCCATAAATCGCACTGGTTTATCATCATTTTAATTCCATCATTCAAACCCTATTCAATAAGCATTTGAGGACACACCCATGGAATCTCCCACCGTTACTATGTGGAAAGTCCCCCAGGATGTTGACCAATTTACCAAGCCCCTGAGGAAAGTCACCTAAGCCAAAAAAGGCCCGCCCCCTGGGTGAAAACGGCGGTCCCACAACTTTGAGCCGTACAGAACCACGATAAATAATAATGGAAAAACCATGAATGACAATGGATAATTATGGTTGATAATGCATAATTATGGGTAATACTGAATAATGATGGATAATTTACGGAGTTGCCAAGAGCCATTGCCGATGCCTTCTGATTGACTCGTGAGATAGAACCCAACTACTGCGAGCATAACCTTCCAAACACAATTCTTGGGGGTCACATCCGCTTTCGGGGAGCGAACCTCGCTAATTTGTTGATTCAACGCATTTCTTGTAGGAATCAATGCGCAGTGTCATTGTTTTTTCTAGGTGAAGTTTTACGCTTCCAAAAAATCCTTTTGATTTGTTCATTCTGTTCATGTAAACAAAAGGAACCCTTCCCATACTCGCAAATTTCTTGTGATGATTACAATTATAGTGGGGTGTTTGCCCAATAATGCCCATGGATGATTTGAATCCCATCCGTTTATGGTAAGTCATTGGAACTGGTTTGTGAAATTGGGTTTGCCACGTTAAAGCCCAGTTTTTTTTAACTGTACAACGGTACAACCCATTATCATCCATGATTTTGCCCTATTGACATATTTATGTTGTTTCTAGTGACAATGTCAGCCCACTATTGACTGCAACTAATCCATTACCCAAATGCAACTCAAGATCAAGTAATCCTTCATCATCCTGTTGATCTTATATATGGCTATTATCCCCATGAATAGCAGATTTCCGAGCCAGGCTGCGACGACCTATGCATGTCCCAAGGTCCCAAGCGCCAACCTCCGAGGCCAAAGTTCTAAAGCGTTTCAGCTCCAAAGGTTTCCTAGCGAACTGGAGCCATATTTTGGGAGCCAAAATTCCTGGGAAACATATGGCAAATTGCCTCTGGTTATGACAAATAGATAGCCATGGTATAGATGGCCCATAGAAATAGATGAAACATCATAATCATA